TTATATATATATATATATACTGTTGCGCTTCAATGTTAAAAAAAATTATACTTGTAACCTTAATTTTGTATTAATTTTCTCTTCACTCTCTTATTAGTGTTTGATGTCCATCTTTATAACTAATAATGGGTATCACACGAACCTCTAAATTGTTGGATAACAAGCGATGACACCTTGAACATAATTATTCAAGCACTCAAATTGACGGTATTGATGTAGAAAAAATGATCTCCTGACTTTTGGTTTATGTATCCACTGACTAAAACCAATAATACTTGTCCTTTTTACCTACCTTTTCTTTTAATAGTGACCGATTTTAACAGTGACCCGTAATTTTACTTTGAATAAATTCATTTTGCGGGAAAAAATAGGAACAGTAGTAGAGGAAGTAAATACAAAAAATTGGATTTTACAGTGAAAATGGTAGATATGGTATTATAAAATAAAAGATGTACGTTGATGAGTTTAAAATTTTTTTTGTCATTTTTTTTAGACTACAATAGTATAAAAGGGGAGTGCCAACTGTTAACAACCATCATGCCAACAGTTAATAACCATCTACTCCAAAAATTTAAACTATTAAAGAGGGTACAACTTTAATATTTATATCCTTCGACACGTCGTATCACGCGTGTCTTTTTTTTAGTCCAACACGGACTTTTCAATTTTTTAATTAGGGTAACGGTGAAGTTTGAACTCAAGACCTTTGACTTTCTGATATCATGTTAACAACCATCTATTCCAAAAGCTTAAGCTATTAGAGAGGGTGCAACTTTAATATTTATATCCTTCAACATCAACACCCTATAATTGTCTTTAATGATGCTTATATATATTGAAGAAAAATGATATGAGAATCGAACCAAACAACCGAATGAGAGGTCGAACTTGTCAAATTATTTTCCTAAAAGTATAAACTTTTGAGATACCTCTTTGTTTATCTCTCCTTGCTTCTTTTAATTCTGGGTTTTTCTTTTCTATTCAATCTTATCTCAATTAATTTTGGTTTTGTGTCTATCTTTTGATTTTGCAAAATTGAAGATAAAAAAAAATAAAATAAAAAAAAAAATAAAAATTTTCATGTTTTGCCAATACAAAAGGTACAAAATAAAAAAACTACAATTATTGTTTCTCTCCTTCAAATTTTGTATCCTCAAAATCAAACAGAAACATTAATATGTGTATACGTTCCATCCAAACGTTTGGACGAGTCTTAAACTAGAATTACTCTTGAGAAATTTGACCACTAGATTTTGAGAAAGAGGAAAGATAAGAAAATTGATGAAGAATATGAGAGAGAAACGAGAAAGAGATAGAAAAAGGAGTTAGTATCTCACGCGTAATGAAATTGTCTGACGTGGCTACAGCCACCTCAAATTTGGTGTTCTTTTTGATAGAAATCTTTGATTTCTCTACTACTGCTCTATATTGAATTGCCTTTATTAATGATAATTATCGTTTAATAGTTATATTTTGGCCCATTTTTTTAGTAGGTTGGACTTTTGGATAATTTGACTTGATATGAGTTGGATCAAAATGATGGCCGAATAAATTAATTTTTTTATTTATCAAATTGTTAGTAATTCACTCCAAATTTTTCTGTGTCTACAAGTCGTTGCTCAAAAAAGAAAATAGACGGAAACTAGTGATATTGATGAACTCGGGAAGAATCTGGTCCGATATTCCCAATGTTCAAATAGCAAGATAAGGTACAATCAGTTGTGGGGAAAAAGAACTGGAATAATCAAGGAATGGAAGTTAGAGACATAGTAAAATTAAAAGAAGATATTGGTTATTTGGTGGTGGAGAGAGAGAGATTGTATTCTGTGAAAATTAGGTAAGTGATATATATACACGCACGCACATGCGAGACTAAAAGGGTATTTTAGTCTTAAAATATAAGTTTTTAACGCTCTATACAAATAGGAACAACCTGTTGCTTGGCTGTTGTTATTGGTTCACAACATTTAGTGTAAAAACGGGGAAGGACAGGACTTGTCTGATTTAATCACAAATACACAGTAATTATAAAATTAAAAAAGTAATAAATAAGAATAATAATTTTTCTTTTGTTAAAAATAAATTCAATCACCCTCTCCGATTTTCTTATCTATCACTTTTCAAAATTTTTAAATTACAGACTGATGTGGGATTATGCACCTGCAGCTCGTCCAGTGTGGTAGCCTACTGGTGCTACTTGCACATGCTAGCAACTGGTGCTACTTGCACATGCTAGCAAGTGTTATAGGTAGATTCAACATCTTTTTATGACAGAAAGCGTTTCAAAACCGTGTGATCATGAACCTATTAGAACTTCGGAGTTAAACCGTGTTTAACCTAGAGTAGTACAAGAATGGATGATCCCTAGAAGTCTTTGGTCTTGGGTAGCCAAAAATGAAAAATATTGTGTTTGGATAAGGTAAGGGTTGTTACAAATGGTATCACTGACCCAACCGAGAGTGTAGCTAACGAGGACGTTAAGTCCCGAAGGGGGTGATTGCAATGGCCTTACGGGCGAGTGTGTGTGCTACCAATAAGCTACCACATTGGACGAGCTACAGGTGCACAATCCCACATCGTCTCGGTGTGGGCAAGTGTTATATATAGATTCAACACCCTTCTATAACACAACACATTTTTAAACCGTGATGGCCGTGAACCCACCAAAACGCCGAAGTTAAGCATGTTTAACCTGAAACAGTACCAGAATAAGTAACCCTTGGAAAATCTCTAATATGGGGGAGCTGGAATATTGCGCCTAGATAGAGTTACAAATTTCATATTCTAAAATTTATGGGTCTGGGATAACTTTGCTCTGGTCTGGGGAGCCATAATAACTTTGCTCCAGTTTTACGTTAAAAGAAATTGTTAAGTGTCTTTTTGTTATTTAGATAATACATCAGAGCTTTTAGGACTATTTTGGAACGAGAATATCGGTTCTCAAGTTAGAGTTTTACGTTAAAAGAAATTGTTAAGTGTCTTTTTGTTATTTCGATAATACATCGGAGCTTTTAGGACTATTTTGGAACGAGAATATCGGTTCCCAAGTTAGAGTTTTACGTTAAAAGAAATTGTTGTGTCTTTTTGTTATTTAGATAATACATTGGAGCTTTTAGAACTATTTTGGAACGAGAATATCGGTTCCCAAGTTAGAATTAACGCATCTTTCCTATTTTTATGGGACTTTAAAACTTAAACTTTTTAGAATCAAATTACCTTTATAAAATTCTTAAGTCTTTATTTTCTTTCATGTTTGTGTGTGTGTATATACGTGTGTGTGCCGCTCTCCTTGATAGATTTTTTATTGAGTTTTCATCATTGCAAGTTGTTATTGAAATAATCTTATTAGGGATGGCAATGAGCGGAGTTAGGGCAGAGTTAGCTAAACCCTACTCCACTTCGTTAAAAATTTCGTTATACCAATTCCGCTTCTATTCCGGAACAAGTTTATAATTGGTATGCCATCCTCGCCCTATTCCAACAGACAAAGTACCGATTCTATCCTGCGTATTCTATTTAATTGCGGGAGTGGGGCGGGTTATACTACTTTTATTATTTAATAATTAAAAAACTAATCCAATGTGCTCAAATTGGACTGATAAATAAGTTAGATCAACTTTAAAATTACTAAGTAGTGAATATTAATATATTAATTGATACTTGCAGCAAAGTAACAAGTGTTATAAATATTAAATATATATTTTAAAGGTACATATATAATCGGGACAAGATGGGATGGGACGAGTTTATCACTAAATTCGTCTCTGCCTTAAACTCGGTTCGAATTTTTAATTATTTTATCATATTTGTCCCAAACTCATTTAGGGAGTTACCAAATCCTCCTCATTAGAGGCGGGACGAAAACTTGTCAGGTCAGAGGAAATTGGCATCCCTAAATCTTATGTGATTTAAGTTTTAGTTGAAGTAAAATGGTATATGAAAGAAAGGTAAGAATGGTTCGTGATCCATTCACAATATATATATATATATATATATATATATAAACAAAGAAAATGAAAGAAACAAAGTAAAGAAAAAATCTATTCATAAAAGTAAGAAAAGAAAAGAAAAGAAAAGAAAAGATGAAAGAATTTAAAATGATAATATGATCCTATAAAAATAATAAAAATTTCAACTAATCAAAAGAGCAACCCAGAGACACTGGCACAACCAACTGCCCCTGTCACTCCTCTTAAGTTAAATTATAAACTTATTCATTCACTAGGTATATGTGCTTATGTGGATAAATGAGTGGAGCTCGAGTTCTTTAAATAGAATTTTCACTCTTTCCCTCTCTCCCTCAAATGTAAAGCGAACCTAAGATAAAAACTACTCCGTATAAACTTCTTAGCTTGCCTTAATGTTTAAAATATCTTATAAACTTAACTATAAAATAAAAACAATAAACTTTTTAACTTGCAGTGCTCAAATGATCTTATTAGCAATTAAACTGAATTATTAGAACTATTAGATTTGTGTGCGTTAGATTTATCGAAAAATTACTAGTGTCATTGTAGTGTCATCCACTTATATGGTATCTATATCAGTTAAGTAATGTCTGGGGAAATATTAACCAAGTGAAAAATAAGTTGAAAATAGAAATGTTGCTAATAATCTGATTTAAAATTAATACTTTTCGTAAATTTTAGAGTACGAGAAGTCTTGTATTTACTAATTTTATTTATATATATATATATATATATTTATTATGTTTAAATGACATTTATGTAATTAAGCTAAATATCACGTCTACTTAATGACGTTAGATTTGGATGTTCAATAATTTCTCAAAGCCATTTAATCTCTTTCCAAATATTATACCCCAAACAAACGCGGCCAATGCATTTCTTTTAAATGCGGCCAACACCAAAAACGAATTTATTACAATTGGATCCTCTCCTTTCTGATTGGAGTTTCTCTCTCACGCATCTCAATCGCGCGTGACTCCCTTCCCTTTGCAACATCGATCCTCTCTTTTGATAGCTACCTCAAAATCAATTTACCATCTCTAGTAGTTTCAACCTTCTCAAAGATCAGAGATCAGTCACTCTCTTCTTCTTGCTCTTTTCTTTCTCCTCTTCCTGGAACCTTCTCTTTCTCTCTCTTGTTTCTCTCTCTAAGAAGAAGTCTTTCCATGGATTGGATTGAAGTAGATGTAAGAACAAGACATCAATCACCAAACTTTGTTATTATTGAATCCCCAGAAATGACGAGCTGTTAATTCAACAGAAAAAGCCCCAAACTCGCTCCAAAACCCAGAACAAAGAGAGACAAGCACCAAGTCATGAGACCGATTCAACCACCACCATCCGCCACCGCTGCTACCGCCAACCGCAACCGCCCGCGGCGGCGTCCAGACCTTACCCTACCTCTACCTCAACGCGACGCCTCCCTGGCGGTACCTCTCCCCCTCCCTCCCACCTCGGCCCCATCCTCATCCTCCACCTCCTCCACTCAGCTCCACTCGGCGTCGCGGCCGCTCCACTTCTCCGAGCTGGATCGACTCAACCGAATCGGTAGCGGGACAGGCGGCACCGTCTACAAGGTATTCCACCGCCCTTCCGAAAAGTTCTATGCTTTGAAGGTGATTTACGGTAACCACGATGATTCCACCCTCCGCCAGATCTGCCGTGAGATCGAGATCCTCCGCTCCGTCGACAACCCCAACGTCGTCAAGTGTCACGATATGTTCGATCACGCCGGCGAGATTCAGGTCCTCCTTGAGTACATGGACGGAAGTTCCCTCGAAGGTACTCACATCCCTCAAGAATCTGCTCTCGCCGATCTCACTCGCCAGATCCTCTCCGGCCTCTTCTACCTCCATAAAAGGAAAATCGTTCACAGAGACATCAAACCATCGAATCTATTGATCAATTCTCGAAAGCAAGTGAAAATTGCTGATTTTGGGGTCTCTAGAATCTTGGCTCAGACCATGGATCCGTGTAATTCATCGGTCGGAACGATTGCATACATGAGTCCCGAGAGGATCAACACGGATCTGAACCACGGCATGTATGATGGGTACGCCGGCGATATATGGAGCCTCGGCGTGAGCATCCTCGAGTTCTATCTGGGTCGATTTCCGTTCGCCGTTGGACGGCAAGGCGACTGGGCGAGTCTTATGTGCGCAATCTGTATGTCACAGCCACCGGAGGCGCCGCACACAGCGTCGCGTGAGTTTCGGGACTTCATCGCTTGTTGTTTGCAGAGAGATCCGGCGAGGCGATGGACCGCCGGCCAATTGTTGCGCCATCCTTTCGTTACACACAACACGTATGGTGGCATCAATCACAGCAACAATCAGGTTCATCATCAGAATCACCAACTACTACCTCCTCCACCACCACGTTTTTCTTCTTCTTGATCTTAATTTTATTTGGTTTGTTGTTGTCTGTAATTTTAAAATGTGCACATTTTAAATTTTAGGAAGGAATTGGAGAAATGGGGTTCTGTTACTTTCAAGGTTTCAATGAATCAACCTTGCCTTCTATAATCTTCATCAGGAATTTTTTTTTTTTTTTTAAATTTTCATGCTTTGCCAACTTTTTAAATTTTACAATGGTTTGCTCTTAGAGCTAATTAAGTTATTGATGTTTTCCCTTGTTCTAGTTGATTTTCCATTGTATTCATTGGACGAACTTTCAAATTGAATCTTAAGTTGCTAATGGTAGACATGATTGCCTTTCTAGTTTTAATGCATGAATGTCTCCCTATTATACACACACACACACACATACATACATACACACACATGGTGAAAGATAAGGCTTTAAGTAGCTAAATACTATTGTGTTACCCAACTTAAAAAGTTAGAATCTTTATCTTGTTATAGAACTATTGAACGTTGGATTAATTGATATCTTCAGAAGCACTGCTGGTGGTCCAAGCTGCAATAGCTACATTATAACTAGGTACTAATGTTTTTATGGTCTTATTATTAGCAAGACAAAAAAGTGTAAAATTTGTAAGATTTGGTCTCTTTATTCATAAGATCTTGTATGCAAATGTGGGGAAAACTTTTTAACCTTTTACCTTCATCCTTTTTGGAAGGAAATCAATACATATAGGCTATATAGCTATACTGTACATAACGACATGTGACCACAGTATGATTTTCTGTTTTTTATTTCCTATTGAGATCATTGGTTCTCTGTCTACCTTTTGCTTTCCTTTCCCTGATATCAATGAGTAGACTATATACCTTGGTTGATCTTTTGAGGTGCTTCAATAATCATTCCATGCATTTATAGGCTACATTTCTCTTTTTGGGTGATTATCTTGTCTAGGCTGGGCCCTTAAGGAAGGTTGATAAAGATAAATGCTTTGGTTTAAAGGGTACATATACATATATTTATAGATATATATGTTATGACTATGTGGTGTTTAAAGAATCTCTACCAAAGGGGTATTTACCTCCTTGGAAACTTCTTGTGGTCTGTTATTCCATATGGCATAGCCCCCTACTCATCTGGCTTTTGAGATTATAGGAAATGTAATCTTTCATTCTAAACTTTTGAAAATGGTCTCCTGTTTTCATTGGATTGTGTCCCTTAAATTTCTAATTCATATATATTCTGATTCATTTCTTTTGTACTAATGTTTATTATCCTTATCCCAACTTTTTGTTTTGCTTTTTCTATTCCTCCTCCTCCATGTGAACATTACATACATGTGCAATACAGCTATGTTTATACCATTCTGTCCTACATAATGTGTTCGGGCCACAAGTCCAGTTGGTTTAATTTCTGCTCCTCCATTCTGTCCTACACAATGTGTTCGGGCCACTAGTCCAGTTGGTTTAACTTCTGATCGCCGGAGGGGAGATTTAGAGTTGGAGTCATGGTAGGGTTATGTTGTAGGTGTTTGTGCGCGTTTGCTTTATCTTTCTTTCCGGGGAAAAAGAAAAGTCTTCTCCATGCGAAAGCATGACATTAAAGAAGTTGCAGCTTTCCAAATGTGCAAGTAATTAGGGACAGTTGCTTGTCATCTATATTTACTGAAATGTTGTGATGAAATGAGTAGATGTAAGAGGAGAATTGATTGGAGATGGAGTATGTGTTGAGTGAAAAGTGATTATTTTATCAATCAAAGAGGCTAGAGTGTACCTGTCATGCAAATACCAGTTGGTGAAGGGGCATAAATGACTAGCATCATACGGAGTAATTAACTTCACAAGTGTGTCCTGCTTTTGTGGGTCATGACTTTAGCTCATTCAAGAGGGTTCCCAAGTCGAACATTGAAGGAAAAGGAAAAGGAAAAGGAAAAGGAAAAGGTTTGTTGGTCTTGTGACCGAACACATAGATAAACTAAAGCCTAGTTGTGTCATCATTTCAAATCCCATCATTGAAAATCATTTCCCAGATCTCTTCCTTCCAGTTAAGAAACAGTACCAAGCCCACTGATTCTGGGTCAAAACCAAAACAAAACAATGGGCTCTAACAATCATCAAAGCTCATGGTCCTGCAACAGCTGTTTCAACATCTTCAAATGGGATTAAGTCATCAACTTTGTCTGTACATAATACACTCACCCACTTGCTATTACCAATGTCCCTTTCTTGCTTGGTGTTATTGAGGGTACAAATCTGTTAGTCCTGCAGTATGGGGGGAGAGACACACAGAGAGAGAGATTGTCCTTTTCCATTATCCGGGGAGAGACACAGATCACGGGGCATTTAGTTCCGGACCATGTAAAAACTTATCGGGTAGAGACAGAAAGAGAGTTTGTCCTATCTGATTATCCATTTAGAAGATTTCAAGTCAATAGGGATGCTGTTCTCTCCAAGTCTCAAATTGGGGCTTTGTACAAAGAGCTTGTTACTTACTCTGACACCAACTGGCTTGCAGCTGGAAAAACACAAACAACCGATTTTCTTCTCTTTTCTAAATGGATCATCTCGGTTAGTTTTTCTCTCCTCCAAGTATCTCCAGGTCATTATTCAACCTAGTAGAGGCTAAATACGATTTTCTAAAGTTGTGAGCCTAACTCGAACAGAATTAAAGTAAAATATAAAAACAGAACTCTGTTCAGTCCTAAACTTTGCAACCATAATAATTCATCATATGTGCATATAAAAATTCTTTATTCAATAACAGTTGTGAAGAGGACCAAACAGCCAATATGGGCCATGTACTATTCATTTCCTATTGGATTGGAAGTTGGAACAGACCATTTCCTAGTGGAGTAGCAGTGTTCTCTTTCTGCATTATCTATGCTTGTGTTTTGGGTTAAATTCTACTGTGTGTTTGTGCACACATTTTAAGAGTGGATTTAAAACCAACCTCTGCAGGTAGTCTATCTAAAATTAGGCAAATGACACTCTCCATCATGACAAAGTTAAACATGAAAAAGGGCAAAGCCAGCATATATTCTCTCACACTTCTATAGAGATTTTGTATCCATTGTGAATCTGTGATAGGAACATTTCATTTTTTTTCTTTCCATGGAAAGACATAAAGTAGAACAAACGAAATGCTAGCAATGCAGTGACTAATGTTGTTATACTGACATAATAATTTCAACAGGCTGACCTGGTGATTGTGATTTTGTGAACTAAATAAAAAAACAGACAATTACGTGCATTTTGAGTTTGCAAATTGTTCAAGAGTCTAAAGTAATTAGCACGTGTACTGCATAAATTTAACTACAACAACATTTAATTTATTGCAATGTTTTAACATAGAATACATATAATAATATCATTTCATCTTTATCACACACTTTAAAAAATATAATTTTTGATTTGGCTCTGCAATTCACTTTTGTGAAAGCATGTTTATTAACTTTTCTTCCTAATTAAAAAAGTTTAGGAGGAAAAAGTGAATGACTATCACTATATAAATTGATACCAAATAATTTTATTAATTAATAAATCTAATGCATTGTCATCCATTATTTTTAAATTGTATTTATCAACCTATTGATTTTAGGGGAAAACAAACCTACTGATTTTATTTTACTTCATAATCTCGAATCAAGTTTGTATGATGCACAACTTCTTAGGTTGAAAAGTAATTCTATTAAATTTCTGAGGATTCCATTCTAGCTTAATATATGCTATTATATCTGGTGTATATCAATATATGTACGTAGTATATATATTTTTATTTTAGTAGACCAATTTTCGAATCGAGTTCCAAAAATATATTGAAGTGAGGTAGTGTTGGATCTTTTACTAAGGGCCGGCCTGTTCGAAATTTGGTAACAGCCCAAACACAACTCAGGTCAAGCCTACCATAACTGATCAATATAATGAATATATTTGGATCCTCCAAACAATCCCTATTATGGTGGGACAGTTGAAAAAAAAATTGTGGTGTCCAAAAATTCACAATGTTGGCCCATGAAAAGGACTCAGCAGTATACATAGTAATAGGTCCATGATAAAACAACCAACCATTATCTGGATTTCAATTTGATAAGGTTTTTCCAAATTGATCCACTCAACTACAATAAATTGTAGGATACTTGCAAAGCAATAAAACAAAACCCATGTCGGCAACCACGTGGTGAATGCACCTTAAAAGGGTCTTGACCCATCCCAAACAGAATTGCTAAATGAGGATTCAAACGTTAGTTTGATTGATGAAGAATGCAAAAATAATCCCAAAAAAAAGAAAAAAAAAAAAAAAAAAAAGAAAGAAAGAAAAAGAAAAAGGAGTGTGTAAAATATTATCATACGGGAATCTTATTTTAAAGGGTAAAGTATAGAAAACCTTTTTAGAGTTGTAGGCTTTTTTAGTAAATTTTTTTGTCTATTTTTTACCAAAGAACATCTCTCAACTTATAACTTTTTTCTAATAAATTTCCTTTGTCTAATTTTTTACCAAAGAACCCACCTCAACTATGTGAAGGGAATATAAGAGTTCAAATTTGGACCAAAATGTCCTTTTATTTAAATCTTAATTCTCCCGAACTTCAAAATTTCATATCTCACAAATCGTACATTTAAAAATTGTGAATGACATATGCACGGAAAGCTTATGTAATAAAGATTTTAAAAATATAAGATTTGTACAACAAACCTTCATAACTAAAGAGAAATGAGTAATTTAAAAATCTACTCCAACAATCTTATTTTATTTTTTAAAAATAAAATACTCGAGATATTTGCAAGACAATTTTCAGAATTATTCATTTAAATATGGAGCCAAATATATAAAAAATTAGCCCCAATAGAGATAGATTTTATGAAATATCATATTTTGCGTCAAAGTATTTTCATTATTTTAAAGACTCACAATTAAAAAAAAAAAGTAAAAATGAATATTCGGTCTTTATTGGGGCTAATTTTTTTATATGTTAGCTCCATATGAAAATGAATAATTCTTAAAATTTTCTTGCAAATAACCCGAGTATTTTATAAAAAAATAAAATAAAATAAGATTATTGCAGTTGATTTTTAGATTGTCTATTTATCTATGGCTATGAAGTTTTGTTAAACAAATATTATATT